TGTCTACTGGATCATGTAATAACAATGATCACCCTTGCAGCCTGGCTCAAGAGCTAAATCCTGGCAGCGATTTCATCCAGTGGTTCCTACTTTTTTCCTTTAGTTTCCATGCCTTGTCTTTTATAGATTTTTCCAACCAATCGCTGAAACTGTTTGTTTAAAAAAGGTGATTGCTGCAACACTGAAAGTTATAAAAACAACCACACATGCCCTGTGGCTTGGGCTGCTTGGCTGGTCTAGTAGAAACTCACCCTTTCATCCAAGACCTACTACTTCCCACCAGAAATCAGCATCAAAAACACCCCTCAAAGTTAGAAGTCTCTATTCATGAGTCCAACAACATATTCACATTTTGCTTCATAACTTTGGAAGGTAGGTTCAGTTCATGACACTGTTCCATATGGAGACTACAGTTTTATTAACTGTTTTGTAGTCACTACAGTGTTTTCAGGTTTGCATCATCAGCCCTGCAGAAGCCCTTTCAGTTAATAAGTTATCTAACTCTGGGTGAAAAGAGCACATAAAATGCTGAGGCTCTGCTGAAACTTACCATGCGCCATTGGTAGACTTGATTTGGCCTCCAAAGTTTGAGGGGCTGGGGCATTCGCTGCAACAGCATAAAAAGAAAAACCTCATAGGCTTCCGTCATTAAAGCAGAAGCATCTGAACACGATGCTGACCAAATACTCAAACTAGTCAAGATACATACAGACTGAAGGCACAAATGCTTTGAATGACAAAGATAATACCAACTAACCTAAAGCAATTTTTAGTAACAGCTTTATTGAAATATAATTCATACCTTTTAAATATACAGTTCAGGGGGGTTTAGTTTATTCATGGAGTTGTGCAAGCTTACTATCTAATTTCAGAACACTTGCATCACAGATGACTCCCCACTCCTCCCTTCCCGAGCCCTTGGCAGCCACCGACCTACTTCCTGTCCCTATGGGTTTACCTGTTCCGGACATTTTATGTAAAGGGACTCATACAGTATGTGGTCCTTTGTAACTGCCTTCTTTCATTTAGTGTCTTGTTTTTGAAGTTCATCCATGTTGTAGCATATGTCAGCATCAGCATCTAGTTTTATGGCCAAATGACATTCCATGGTATGGACAAGCCACATTTTATGCATCTATTCACTAGGTGATGGACATACGGTTGTTTCCACTTTTTGGCTATTATAAATACTGCTGCTCTGAACACTCATGGACAATAGAACCATTTTTAAAAAATCCCATCACTGGGCTGGAAGACACTGTGAGAGGTACTAACTCAGCCACAGTGTTCAGAGGAGGACACTGGATTCAAGTAACGCTAAATGCTCTCAACTTTAAAGTATCTTCAGAAAATTAGATTCCATGGCCTCCTTCCACGAGGTCCCTCTCTGGACTATCTACTTGTCTGTTAGTTTGCTGATTCTTTCCCTAGTTCATTAGGAAAGATCTTTAATTCCAATCCGACTCCACGACATACTGGCTACAAACCTCAGTATGTCCATACCTTTTTGTTTGTACAATGGCTACCAGTCAAAGTGTTCAACTCCAAACTGTGAATAAATTGCTAACAATACTGGAAACACAACCTTCAAACCCATTTGCAATTTGCACAATCTAGGTCAAGGTTTGGGAACTATATAGCCCATGAGACATACCAGCCTACTCCTGTTTTTGTAAATACTGTTCCAATCTTGTGTCAAGTAAATTAAAGTATAAGCAATAATAATTTAGTGCCTTTTAAGCTTTCTATCCTCCTCTGAATATATTTCACAACATCTAAGTTCAGCTTCTACTCTCCCCTCAGCCCTACCCTTGGCATTTAAACTACCCTTTCCTCCTCAGCACCTCTTAACCTCCTCAGCTTCCAGAAGCAACATCAAGAGGCCTTGAGATGCACTTGAGAAGACTAAGCGGTTAAAAAACCATTAGCACCTTCCAGCCAATTGTGCCGAACTCCCAAACATGCTCATCAATGTCCTCTCATCAGTGCTGAGTCCTGGGCCCACAAGAATAGTATCGCCGCTGGGCCCCAGCCCAAGCCCAGACCCTCCGAGGATAGTACTGATCCTTGTTTACACGATCTTTTCTTGCCTCCCAGTCACCTGCTTCTTTCCTTTCTCCGCCCTTCTACTTTCCTGAATGGAAAAAAAAATATTTCAACTATTTAAGCTATTATTAAGAAAAGCTGTCCATTTCGAAACTGTGCAAATGATGTCTTTTTGGATCATAACCAAATCCTGCTAATTCCAGGAGGTTGCCGTGGCCAGTGGAGCTCAAGTGAGTGACTGACAGAGGATCAGTTCAAAGCCTGCACCACTGAGAGTCTAAGCGATGCTGAGACGTGGCGGCCGCCACAGTCACATCGTTACACACCGTTACCTCGGGAAACCGAAAAGAACAACCTGCAGCAATGCTGAAGAATGTTTAGTTGTCCCTTCAATAGGCACACCAAAAAATAACAGGTGTGGCTAACCAAAAACACTACCAAATCACACGGATATTCAGAGTCTTGGGTTTGGGAAGTAGGTCAAAGCCAGGAATCAAAATAGATCATTACATAATCTCCAAACACACTGGTTTTCAAAAACAAAAGTCATTAAATATATTAAACAGAAGTTATAAATCAGTTTAGCACTTTAAAAATGTCTCTAGAACCCTGACCCTATTATAGAAACTTACTGGGCACAGCTGGGGCTGCTGGCTTTGATTCAAAAGTTTGCCAGGTTAAAGGATTCCCTGAAAGAACAGAAAAAACTTTAATTAATAACAAAATCTTAAGCTTTGGGTTATATTTTGCCAGCGCTTATCCTAATCCTTGTCCTTCAGAAAGCAATAAACAAAGCTTGTCAACATACAGTGACTCACCCAATAAAGATGTTTAACATAAATCCTTACAAAGCCAATTTTTTCCTAAAATTATCTTTCAGTCAAGTATTTATGCTACCTAAGTAATCAAACAGGTATCCTCATTACCTGAACTGTCACTATTCAAAGAGAAATTACAGGAAACCATGGCCCTTCCCAATCCTTTATCTCAAAACAAATGGGAAGCAAGCGTATAGGTCATTGTATTTCCCATGGACCCCAGAAACAAGGAGGAAGCCTAGCTCTGACATCTATTACCAATCACCAGTTGGCATCCCGCAAGCAGACCAAGATTGCTTAACAATCTAAATTTTGCTGGAACTATAAGATTTGGACCACTCGGGAGGAGACCAGGCAGAAGGCAAGCTTTCTGCCTTACTGTGAGACCCTGCATTTCTGGCTCCCAATTCCCCTTCTAGACTAGCTCTTGACTGACACAAAGATGGGTGGCTATCACGGCTATAGTCAGTAGCCTCTATTTGTCCTCACTATGGTTAGAACAAATCTTTGATGCCCAATAACCTCAAGTGAGAAAAATGCAGCAGGCCTCTATAGTACTTCAGAGGAGTTGACTTTAGTATCAGTAACAACAGCTAAAACTAGTCAGTGTTTTAACAGGTGCCCTTTACACATGTTCACCATTTAATCCTGGTAACTAGCCTGTGATGCAGGTACTGTTAAATTCCAACTTTAGAGCTGAGGAAACTGAGGCAGAGACTCACAGCTACAAAGAGATGGGAGTAGGGCCTAGTCTGTCTCCAGACCTTGTGCTTTCAATCTAACTCCACCTTATCATACTTCAGTCCAGAGGTATGGTTACTGAGAACATGCTGTGTGCATAACAATGTTCTGTTAAAAAAAATATAGGAGACTGTTCAATTTAGGTTATTTTAAATTCTTCACCTTTCTGAGTTGTGGTAACAGGTCTCCCTAGTTAAAATGCCTAGAGGAAGACATCTTAGCACCATAAGCCACCACGGCCCCACATTCTTGTGCTGCCCAGCTTGCAGTGAGGGAGTCCCACTAAGCCTCCAGCAAGGGACCCTGGTCCACTTACCTTTGGGCTCACTGATGCTGTTTGATGGTTTCCTGGTAAACTCTTTAATCTGCAAAGAAAAGCACTCTTCTTGTGATACATGTTTGCAAGTGGCTAGGGACATACTGGACAATGGACAGACACTGTACTTACTGCATTAGCCTTTTCACTAAATCCTCCAACGACCCAGGACGCATGGACTTCAAAGACATGGAGGCAAAAGTTTTATAAAAGCAGCATTTATATGCAGCTGCTTCCCAAAGTAATTACCTAAAGAAATTCTTCTCCACCTTCAAATTTATTCTGAATTCTAACAGAATAAATCTGCTTGCTCTACAGTATTTTAAAATACCTATTTAAAAACTATTTTACTAGATTTACTTTTACAAACAGTCAGAGAGAGAAATATATACCATCTCCTCTATCATACCCAACTTATAAATGCTCTAAAATAAAAACACGTTCTTTGATCAACAGTTCTGCTTAAAGAAAAACAGCACCAACCGATAGCCAAAAATACCTGCTGTCTCTGCGTGATAATTAATTCATTCTGCTCCTGGAGCCTCTGCCCAAGCTCTTCTATCCTTTTCTTATAGAAAACATTACTGGCATTTAGGTCGTCTATCATTGAGGTTCGAAGTTTCTCTGTATGCGACAGGAACTGGGAAAAAAAATTAAGAAAGGCTTCCATCTGGAAAGTGCATGTAAAATGTCTTCCTTCTGCAGTGTGTATGTACATGCCCTGCCTTCTTTGCTGGCCTTATATTATATGTGCACATCACATCAGTCAACACATATTTGATCAGTGTATACCAAGGCCCTGGCTATATAAGGGGCTTCATCTCTGTTCCCAAGGAGCTCATGACCCAAGACACAGAAGACGGAGAAGGTAAACAGCTGAGTGAACTCAGCACATTACGTGAAACAACGTGGGGATGAGCAATGACAAAGGATCAAGGCTTCTCCCACAGTGTCTCTGGACCCACACAGTCCTGACCTTCAGATGTCCACATGCGTCATCCTGGCTGGGGGTGGGGTGGGGGACACTCCCTTGGCAAAAGAGCCCATCTTAATTATTTTCATATGTCCAGCAACTAGCACAATCTTTGGCCAACAGCAAGCTCTCAATGGATACTTCCTGGGAAAAGGAAGGCGGAAGAGGGAAAGAGAGGGGGAGAAGGAAGGAAGGAAGGGAAAGAAAGAAAGTGGGGGGGGGTCACAGGACGGAAAGGTCCAAACATTCACAGATAAATTCATCTTGAGAGACTTAACTTCAGGGAGATCATAAACCGGACGAAAGGAATTCAAGAAGAATTTGTTTCCAATAATTTAGGAAAGATTCTTAAAGCAATCTCAGTAGTTGCTTAAACAAGAGTACCACAAAAACCGTGGTAACTGGAGCTAAGGACATTCCACGTCTACAGCCTGGAAATGGAGACAGTGATGGGCAGAGGTGGAGGGTGGTTAAAACTGCCTGAGAGGAGAATAAAGCGCATCTATGCAGCATTACCTGACTTGCTCGGTTTTACAGCCAACACTCACTGTGTGCTAGAGGCTGTGCTAAGTGTTCATCTTATTGACTCCACACCACAAGCTTACGGATACATGTTTTGACCCCACTGTACAGATAAGGAAACTCAAGTCTAGAGGGATAAAGCAGACGGCCCAAAGTCCGCCAGCTGGAGGGGAAAGGGCCCTGACTTGAACTGCCATGTCTGGTTTCAACATCGACGCTCTCTGACTTAGAGTCAATGTATTAATATTTTGTAATTAATAATAATGCTTGCACACAATTAAGCAGCCCCCAGGACTTTGAGAAATAAATCACCACATCAAAAAATAACAGTGATGTACCTATTAGAATGGTCAAAACCCAGAGCACTGACTACAGGAGATGCCGGTGAGGAGATGGGGCAGCAGAACCTCTCGTCCATTGCTGCTGGGCACGCAACTCGGTACGGCCACTCTGGAACAGTGTGGCAGTTTCTTACAAAACTAAACATTCTCTTACCACCTGGACCAGCCATAGTACTCCTTGGCATTTACCCAGAGTTGCTGAGACACTGAAAACTTCAGTGCACACAAAAACCTGCACATGGATGTTTACAGCAGCTTTATTCATAGCTGCCAAAGTATGAAAGCAGCCAAGATGTCCTTCAGTAAGTAATGGATAAATGAACTGTGGTCCATCCAGACACCGGAATACTATTCAGCATTAAGAAGAAATGCGCTATCCAGCCATGAGAAGGTTTGGCGGAACCTTAAATGCATATTGCTGAGTGAAAGACGCCAACCTGGAAAGGCTACATCCTATGATTTCAACTGTATGACATTCCAGAAAAGGCAAAACCAGGGAGACAGTAAAAAAAAAAAAAAAAAAATCAGGGGCCGGGAGAGGGAGGGGTGAACAGGTAGAGCGCAAGAGGACTTTTAGGGCAGTGACTGTATTCTGCAGGACACTCCAGTGGTGGAAACGTGTCAGACGTTTGTCCAAACCCATGCCACCAAGAGCAAACCCTGATGTGAACTATGGACTCTGGGTGATAAAACATTAGTGTAGGTTCAGCAGTTGCAACAAGGGTACCCGGTGGGGCAGAGACGGTAAGGGGGTGCTATGCACACAGGGCGAGCAGGGGGTATTTGGGAGCTTTGTACTTTCTGCTCAATGTTGCTGTGAACCTAAAACTCCTCTAAAAATAACCTATTTACATTAAAAAAGGAATAGCAACAACAAAAAATGAATGCTCTCAATCAATACACCTGAAGGGTCTTCCTTCTGAAGTGCTCTGTGCTCAGTGAGGCAGGATAAACACTGGGTTGGGCCAAGTTAAAAAGGTTTCCTGAATGAGAACTAAAAGACCCTTTCACAACCCAGTAAACACTAAGATTCTCCACCCAGGAGGACACTGTCAACAATCTCCCCTACAGCCTCATCACTGGAAGGGTGACCCCCAAAGCAGTCTGGGCAACACTGAGCTGGAAAATAAAAGAAGGACCCCAAGAAGGAATGGGACATGGAAAAATGAAGGGAATACAATAGTCTAAGCAAGAAATACACAGAAATCAGTTCAAAAAGTCTGTGGCCCTTGAGCCCACTGCTGTGTCCTTCTCCCATTTCAAGCACTCTGCTTTTTTCTCCCCCTGTCCATGTCCTGATTCTCCTCTTCTTTCGTTGTGTGTCTGCTCTACAACCACCCAGGCTCTGAAGAGTCTTCTGTCGGGTCGAAAGGGCACGCTGTCGTGTATCTGTGACTCTTTTTGAACTTGCACCAATGTCATTAAAAAAAAAAGAAAAAAAAAAAGGCTGCCAAGAACCTAGGTAAAGCAATAAAAAGTTGGCAATCACAGCTTCCCTTCAACAGAGAATCACAATACGTGCATTGTAGGAAGAGTAGGCACCGATCATGTGGAATAATTACCAGCTAGGTCTCAGGCAGAGATGACTAACTCTGGTTGAATCCACCCCCCCTGTTAAGGTTTAAGAGAAATGGAGAAGCAAGCAGTTTCCGAACAAGCCAAACCAACAGACAAGGGAACAGCGTAGCCTGGTGGTGGCACAGAAACTCCACGCTTCCAGTACGGGGGGCGAGGCACCTCTCTCAGAACTGGGGCAGGTCTGCCTCCTTCCTCCCAAACCATCATCCGTGCTGCCCGCTCTCCTGACCTGCACTGGCCTTGTACCACACTCTGCACCATACACTCTATTATAGCCAGAAGGCCACAGGTATCCCCACAACTGCCTGGAACGTAAGAGGCTTTTATTTAAAGAAGCAAGAATGAAAGGTCAGTCCCTCTTAATAAGGAAGTCTGAATTCTGTCCCTAAACAGAAATGCTGTAAGATTCTTAGAGAGGAAGAAAAGAACTTCCAATTCTGAGAGCAGTGGTTCAAATCATGGATCAAAAACAGAAATCATGTGGGGCTTTGGTGTTTTGTTTTGTTTTCCAAAATAAATGTCTCAGACTTACCTGCTGAATCAGGATCTCAGGAAGTGGAGCTGCGTGTGTGCATTTTAGAAAAGAGCCTCAGGTCATCCTGAAGTGTGTCCGTGGTTGGGAACTACTACCTCGGAGCCTCTCAAGAGAAAGCTAGAACGTTCTTATAGAAAAGCAACCCCCCTCTAAGCCGTCACTGCCTAGTCTCCTTCGGAGCCGCCTCAGTGCCCAGAATGTGACAGATGAGCAAGGCAGCGAGGTGGACAAGCATGGCCCAGAGGAAGAGGGCCTGGACACCCCGCTCACACCGACAGACAGCTCTCAACCCTGCTCTTCTGATCCCTACAACCAGGCTTTCTCCATCCATAAAAGCAAGGTTGAATAATCCCCTTATTGGCCACCCAGTGGTTTCCAGGTTCACAGCAAATATTTAATGAGTGACAGCCACATTTTAGGCACATTTTTGGATGTAAGGAATACAAAAGACAGCATAATAGACACAGCCCTTTCCTCACAGGGCTGGTGATCTGGCTAGAGAGACAGACAGGAAACAAGTAAAATATCACAAAAACTACTTAAAAGAGTAATCAGAGTTATATTTGTGAAGTGATGAGAATAACAGAGGGGACTGCTTACTTAGAGGAGTGGTCGCAGGCGACTTGTACAGCAAGGCCAGAAGAGGGTGTGGTAGGCAAATTCTAAAATGGCCCTCGCGTTTGCATCCCGGCAGAGTACACACCCTGTATGGCGCTCCCCGGGCCTCACAGCTGAATGCCCGTGACCCCCACAAACTCATACACTGAAGCCCTAACCCCCAGTATGATGCTATAGGAAGTTGGGACCTTTGGGAGGTGATCAGGCTTAGACAAGATCAGGAGGCTGGGGTCCTCATGACGGATCAGTGCCCTTGTCTGAAACCTTCTTTCTCTCCCCACCGTGGCGGACACAGAGAGAAGGCAGCCATCTCCCCACCCAGAACCCAACTGGCCAGCACCGGACTGAGGGGCGTCCCAGCCTCCAGAACCCTGAGAAGGAAACATCTGTTGCCGCGGCCGCCCACTCAACAGTATTTGTTACAGCAGCCCGGGCAGACTAAGACACAGGTTGGGTAATCTTCTAACCATCCGATTACAGCAACGGTGAAGGGTCCTGATAGATGTTAACTAAATTTCCTAAATTGCTGACTTTGAGTTAACAGGAAGGGAGATTTTCCTGCAGGGGCCTGTCTTATTCAGGAGAGCCCCTTAACAGGAGTTCCAGGTCCTTCTTGAAGGGGGAGAATGAAAGCAGGAGACAGTCTCCTGCTGGCCTTGGAGAGGTCAACAGCCAGCCTGATGGCTACGGACCTGAGGGTCTTGCTCCCACGGTTCACCATGCAGAACCGCACGCTGCCAACAACGTGAACAGGCCTGAGCCCCAGATGGGAACACAGCCTGGCTGACACGCTGGACGCAGAACAGGAGACCCAGCCAAGCTGCTCCTGGACTCCCATCCCATGGAAACTGTGAGACAATGAATTTGTGGTAATTTGCAGCACAGAACAGAAAATGAATACAGAGGGGAGGGAGCCAGCCATGTGAACAGCAAAGGGAAGGACTTCCTGGTGTAGGAACAGAGAAAGGCTGGCATGTTCTACAAATTACCAGAAGGCCATTGTACTCAGAAAGAGTAGGTTTAGAGAGAGAGGGTCAGGATGAGGAAGTCAGATCATTTTATCTGCTCCACGGAGGGCAAATTAGGAAAGAGGGAGGTTGGATTTGGGAAACAAGTTATGGGGCCTTTTCAGAAATGGGGGCTTGGTGAAGAGTGGAAGCAACGGAAGAGGTACCTATGGATCCAAGCTATCTATTTGGTAAAACTGTAGCAGGCATTTTTTAGTATATAATCAAAAATGTTTAGACACGTTTGCACTTGGCTTTAATCTTATACTCTAAGGCAGGGGGCCAGCAAATACTTTCTGTTAAGGGGCTAACAGTATTTTAGGCTCTGGGGGCCAAGAGACTCAGTCACTACTATTAGTAGTAGAACAGTCATAGACAGTCTGTAAATGAATGGGTATGGCCGTGTTCCAATTAAATGTAATTTTCAAAAACAGGTGCTTGTTCACAAACCTGAGGAAACACAAAGGTTTCTGAGTCCATGGCTTCTGAAATGACAACAGCTCACAGGAAGGAAACATGAAATTTAAGTGGAGCCTTAAGATTTTCTAACTGGGTGCTTCAATTTCTGAGACCAGCTTATTGGGAGCAACTGCCAACAGTTCAGTTCAGGACATGATTCCTGGTCCCGTACTAGGTGCAGGCACCTTGCTGGGCACCCCTGGCAGGCTAGGAGAGAACTGAGAAGCAGGCCCTGCCTGGTACAGGAGGAAAGTGGACACGATAGAGTTTCATGTAATTGTATGTGATCGGGTCCTGCTTGGGCAACTTACAGAAATGCAATAACCCAGAGGAGAACCCTCTAGAAGAGGTGCTGCCCCAGCTGATTGAGTCAGCCCCAAGTCCTGAAAAGTGGGAGTGCTGCAAAGAGTAATAGCAGAACACAGAATGCCATGTTCTGGGGACCTCAGCCACCTGGGAGCATGAAGGGAAAGTCAAGGATGGTGGGGGATGACACAGGGTCCGAAGTCTCAGGGACTTCAAATGCTGGTTAAGGTTTCTAGACTCTGCTCTGAAGCTGTTAAAGGACGATAGACAGGACACTGACAGGGTCAGCCTGGCTGCAATGTAGAATGTGGATTTGGGGGAGGGAGGTAAGACGTGAGCAGCAAAGCAGGAAGTAGTGGCAGTATCTGTTTTCAAAAACACACTTCTTAAAATGACATTTTAAAAAAAATCCTAAATTCATAAGCTTTCATCTATTTTTGTGTCCTGGGGAAAAAACAATGTTCCCCTAAACTGTTGTGACGAAATAACCAGGATGGCGATTATGCCAATCATGAAGGTTCACTTCCAAATGACTGTAATTGTGTTTGATAAATAAAGATCACCACTTCCCAATGGACCTGTATATATAAGCTCTAAAAATAAAGTTTATGCTTCAAAATGCCTTCCTATGCCTTTTGAAACTGTGACCTACATCTGAAATATGAAAGGTAAGTATTAAGGTAACAGCAAGTAATTCAAATAGATACCGTGTTAGGGAAAATAAACAGCTCTGCCAACTGTTCTGTATCCATATCTACAGTCAATCAACAAGCACCTAATGAACACCTGTTCTGAGTTATACATGCATTAGGAGACAAAAAAAGAACTAGTCACCTTCACAGTCACTGAAACAGACAAACATTTTTAGTTCTATAGATAACACTTGCTATAAATTCACTAAGAAAATCAGACCTCCACTGCACTTCTCGCCCACCTTTACATACCTGACTATCAAGACGTTGCATCGCATTCTGGAAATCCTGAGGATACTGGGGACCTTCTTCTTTAAAATCCTGTGCATCTTCTAAGGTGCCTATGTTAGACTTTATGTGCATATTGGACTTTTGGACTTCTGACAATTCCTATAAAATAAAATGCAAAAATCACTGGTACAAATACTTTTGTTAGACTGAAATAGAGAATAACGTTGAGCGTGTAGCCATGTTTTAAATCTGATGATGCTACAGACCCTTATTTGCTTCTATTTCTCCTGCCTAGTGGTTTTCCTGATTTCTGCTGCTTTTTAACACAATGTGTACAGGGTGAATAAGGCAAAGAAAAACGTAACTTTCTAATTTTAGGGAATGGGTCTCAAGAAATTTATCGGACACGTAACAGTTGCCAGAAACAGAGGAACTGTGGGCAGCTGTTTCTCAAAATAATTTCACGATGAAGCATCATCCAGGGATCGTATCAGTGAACCCATTCGGGACAGGACGTGTCAATCTTGCCCTTTGCTTGTCATGTTATTCCCAAAGTTCTGAGGGTAAAAACCCTCAGAAAACCACAGAAGGTAATACGTTAGTTCCAAAAACATAAGGGTGGGAAGCATATTTCCCTGTAAGTCCCAATAGCGACTTTCTTTTGCCAAGAGTAGAAATGGAGGGGGATAACTTTTCAGTAGAGAAACCTGCTCACCTGGCTGGGGTGGTGTTCAACCAGGTGATCAGGGTCAACATAAGCAGTCATAAATCATGAGGAGAGTGCGTACCCTTGAGACGATGTGATGAAAACCGCACTTTCTCTCTGAGGTCTTCTTCCCAAAAACCCCTAAGCCCAGTCTAGCCATGACAAGACTATCAGATAAACTCCAATGGAGGGGCATCTACAATACTCCTCAAAACTGCCCAGGTCATCGAAAACAAGTCAGAAAAGTTGTCACAGACAAAAAGAGCTTAAGGACACATGATGACTAAATGTCACGTGGTGTCCTAGACAGGATTCTGGAGCAAAAAGAGAACATTAGGTAAAAGCTAAAGAAAGTGAAATAAAGTATGGGCTTGAATTAATACTAATATATTGATATTGTTCATTAATGGCAACAAATATAGCATACTAATATGAGATGTCAGTAATGTGGAAAAATTGTGTACAGGGTAAGAGAGGGGGTTTTATATAGAATTTTCTGCACTATTTTGCTCAATATTTCTGTAAACCGAAAACTATTCTAAAAAATACTCTATTATTAATACTAACTTGGAAAACCTCAATAGCTCAAAAGGGTAAGCAACCTAAATGTCCATCGATTGATGAATGGACAAATCGGTATATCCACACAATGGAATATCACTCAGCAACAAAAAAAGAATTAAACACAGACACATGTGACCGCATGGATAAGTCTTGAACACATTACACTAAAGTGAAAGGAGCCACTCACAAAAGGTCACATAGTGTATGAGTCAATTTACATGAAATGTCCAGAACAGGCCGATGCGTAGAGACAGAAAGCGGATGGATGATCGTAAAGGCTGGGGACCGGGATGGGGGGCGGATGCCAGCGGGTACAAGGTTTCTCCTTGGAGTGATGAAATGTTCTAAAAGGGCTGTGTGGACAGTTGCATTGCTCTGTGAACATACTAAAGACTACGGAATACTTTCAGTGGGTGAATTGTATGGTATGTGAACTATATCTCAACAGAGCAGTTTAAAAAGAATGGTTTTAGTAGTAGAGAAGTCCCAGGTGGGACAAAGTCCTATTCCACAATCATCCTAGGAACGGGGGCAGGGGACAAGACCACAGAGGGAATTCTCAGGTGAAAGGACTGCAACCAGCAGCTTATCACAAGAAAGAAAATGCATGTGGACTTAAGAAGCTAGTTTTAAATTGGCTAGTATCAAATCTACCACTGTGGGTAATAGGGACTCCCACCTTCAGAAGGCACCACAGATATGAGCTCCGAAGAGGCCCCTGGAGTAGGGGTGGGAAAAGAAGCCACCTAGGTAGGAGCTCTGATGCTTAGAAGGAAGAATGACAACCAAGGAGAGGTAATATGGGTGTAACTGAACCAACAGAAGTTGCCAGAAGGAAGCCCTACAGAAAAGACACAGCGAGCCATCAAGTTATTTCCCCTCAACTTTTTATTGGCAAATTACGACTCACAGAAAAGTTGAAAGAATAGTAAAATGAACACCCATTTCACCCTCACAAAGTGTTAATACTGTGCCACATTTGCTTTGTAAAAATATGACAGGGGTGGGCGAACGTCTTCTCTTAAAAAGCCAGATAGTATTTCATCTTTGGGAGACATATAAGACCTGTCACAACCACTCAACTCTAAGGCCTCAGCACAAAAGGCCATAGACGAACCATAAAGGACAAGCATGGCTATGTTCCAATAAAACTTAACTTGGAAACACTGAAGTGTGAACTTCAATTTTTGTGTGTTGCGAAATTATCTTCTTTTGATTTTCTTCAACCATTCAGAAATGTAAAATCCTTTCTTAGCTCATGAGCCATACCAAAACAGGTGGTATGCGGGATTTAGTTCAGAGGTTACAATGTATCATCCCCTATGCAAGAGTTCAAGGCATTTAGAGAAGGATCTTGGCCATAAAAACTCTTATTTTAAAACAGCCCTCTATTTTAGTTTGTAAAACGTGTTGGCCCCTAGAGGGAGCTCACAGATCTTCCCTTGCGTCCCTTGCTTCCCTTTCCCCAGGAGACTCGGCACTGAGTTGCCCACCTGCCCACAGAGCTCTGATAATTCTTAGCTGGAAGACACAGGCCACTGTCCGAGGAAGGACTTCGCAGAGGATTAAGGTTCCAGCCAGCGAGGTCTACTATCCATGCGTGTGACCGGGGCACTCTGGACCAACGCTGCTCCCGTGGTGGGAGAGGGTCTCATCTAGCCTCGTCAGGCTCCCTCAGACCCCTCGTCCTCTCCACCAGTCAGACCTGGTGTGAGCAAGGTGCCTGGCAAAGGTTTTTCCACTGTCTTCCTGGGTTAGCTTCCTTCTCCCACATTGATGATGTGTCAGCCTTTCTGGAAAGTTCCAAAACTGAGGGAGGAGTTCATAGATTCTCGCTATTAAAACCTAGCCAGCTAAGTAAAGAAGCATCCTCTTCTACATCCGACCAAATGTACCGGAAGTACCAAGTGTTCTACACTGGGGGTTGGGGCCAAAGCTCCCCCTCTCCAGGAAATGACTTTGCTGATTTGCTCTGTCTTCTGTATGACCTGAGGCCCCTCAAGACTGTCAGGGAAGAGGGGTATCTGGGCCAGCGCACAATAAAGGAACTTCTGGATCCTCTGGCCGTAATGCCATCCTAAGGACACCTCTCAAGGCAACGACTCTACCAATACTATAAGAACTTCTTGGTTTAATACTTACATATTCTAATGCTGAATTTCTGGAAGTTAATTCTTTCAACTCCTTCATGAACATTTGCTTGACTTTTTCCATTATATCAATTAATTTCTCCTTTTCTTCTTCTTTAGATCTTTCAAATAACTTCCGAGATTCTTCCTCTTTTATTTTCTGCATTTCATATTCCTGAAATTATTTTAATATATGGCTTTAATAAAAGTTCTGATATGAAGCAAATATGCAAAGTTTTAAGTAAAGGGACATAGCTTCACCTCAAATGTGCCTGCTAGTTTTGCCTATTTCAGTTAGGCTTTCAATAACACTTCATACAGCAGCAATGTACACAGTGGTTTTTCCTAAAGCAAAGGTAGCACATGGCATCCTTTTGTCCTTAAATCCCTTAAAATACAAACATACAGGCCCAAATCTGAAGTATTCTGTGATCTGTGAACTTGTACAGTACATATGATAATGCATTAATATATAAAAATGTAAACATACTTTAAAAGTCTATTGACTAGAAGAATCTCTCTTGATACCATATGAACTGGGGTAGAGTAGCCCCATTTCACCCCCAAAAAACACAAGTTTGTACTTATATAAGCCAAAGTCAAGTTCTAGTTGATCGGCCTTTGATTTCTCTATAACCTTCAGTTTTTTTTTTGTTGTCATTTAACTGGGAACATGGGTAACACTGTAAACAAACCATCAAACAACATACTCTTAAACAACCAATGAGTCAAAGTAAAACTCCCTAGGGAAATTAGAAAACACTGAGATGAATGAAAATTAAAACACAACATAATAAAAAAGGGAAGTAGCCAAATCAGTGTTCAGAGGGAAATTTGTAACTGTAAATGTCTACATTGAAAAAGAAAGATCTCAAGAAACAAGGAAGGTTATTACATAATGATAAAGAGATCAGATATAAGAAGATACAAGAATTGTAAATGTTTTTGCATCCAACATTGGAGCACCAAAATATATAAGGCAAATACTACCAGAATGAAAAGGAGAAATAAAAAAGCAATACAGTAATAGCGAGGGAGTTTAATATTCCAGTCTCAACAATGGGCTGCTCATCCAGACAATCAGTAAGGAAACACAGGTTTAGAACAACACTATCCACCGAATGGACCTAACAGACATGTACAGAACATGCTATCCAACAGCAGCAGAACACACATTCTTTGCAGCATACATGGAACATTCACCAGGATAAATCACGTGAGGGTGCAGAACAAGTCTTAACAGATTCAAGAAGGCTGAAATTACATCTGACCACAACTGTATGAGCAAGAATTCAGTAGCAACAAGAAGAAAACTGGAAAATTTACAAGTTTGTGGAAATGAATATACTCCTGAACAACAAGCAGACGGAAAAAATCAAAAGGGAAATCACAAATACCTAGATATAAACAAACATGGAAACACAAACACAACATGCCAAAACTCACAGGATGCAGTAGAAGCAGTTTTAAGAGGAAAGCTTATAGATAAAAATTCCAGCATTAAAAAGAAGCTCTCAAATAACCTAACATTACACCTCAAAGAACTAGAAAGAAGGAACAAACTAAACCCTAAATTAGCAAAAGGAAGGAAATAGTAAATATTAGAGCAGAAGTAAACGAAATAGAAAATTGGGACACAAAAGAAAAGATCAAAACTAAGAGTTTATTTTTGGAAAAGATAAATAGCTAGACAAACCAAGAAAAGAAAGAGGACTCAAAGTTATAAGTAAAAGAGGAGACATTACAACTGATAAAAACAGAATTACAAAGCATCATAAAAGCCTAGTATGAACAATTATATGCCAAGAAATTGGACAATCTAGAATGGATAAATCCCTAGAAACACACAATCTACCAAGACTGAATTAGGAAGAAACAAAATCTGAACAAACCAGTAATAAGTAAGGAGACAGAATCAGTAATCAAAAACCTCCCTCCCAACAGAGAAAATTCCAGAACCAGATGACTTCACTGGTAAATTCTAGCAAACACTTACAAGGAATTAACGCCAATCCTTCTCAATATACCATTGTTTCAGAATTCAGTATCATACCTTAGACTGGACTGCATTGGCATGCTGTGCAGCCTCTAGCTGAGACTTAGTAAGCTGTAGCTGCTCCTTCAACATGTCCATCTCATTCTTGAGTTTAACAATCTGCACCTTTTTCTTATACTCTGCTGCAACAGAAATATCATGTTAAAATACCATCTCTTCTGAAGCCTGTCTGAAAACTTATGGGGTACAGTCTTACTGGTAAGACAAAGACAAAGGAAACTGCTCTTACTTGGAATATTATTCTTTCATGCCAGGTGAGACAATTTTGGCTTTTTAGTGTTTAATTGCAGCCCCTCATATTATTGAGTGCTGAATTCTTCTTAGAAGACTCTTTAGCCACTGTGTTGGATTATCCTACAGAGACAGTGTGAGAGCCCATTCAGGGAGCAATAATGGTGACAAAGAATAGTCCTGGGCTCTTCTTCGAGATGCCTGTCTCAATCAGAAAAAGGAAGTGACACCTTCCGCTGCTGGTACCACCATATTGAAATATCTATGGTCACCATACTTCTGGCTCCTATCAAACTCTGCTGAGAACCTCATCAGTACTAAGGCAAGCAGAGGCTGGCATTCCAAATGCAAATTCAGGCCATAACCTACCCATGGGGCAAAAACGAGGTACTGAAAAGTTGTAAAAGGAAGCAACAAGTGAAGGGAAGAATAGTTATGTACATGTACTTACATGCAGATGTGCACATGACTGAATGGACATACATGTGTCTGTGAGTGTAGACATGAAAGGTATGGAAACCAAAGTAGAAAGTCAGAATCTCAAAGATGACCTGAAGAAATAATACTTATTTCAGAGTCTGAAATACTCTCTGAAATGAGTATGAGATAGAATAAGATACTGAAACAGAAGAGAAAGAAGGTCAGTTTCACACTGAAGAATGGTAGATTCATTAAAATATTTCATCTTACAATTTCTCTAATACATTGCTAAATTCTATCAGTGGTTCACGACTTACAAATGAAATTTTATGCTGTTCACACTGTTTATACACGGCTTAGCTATTTCCTAAATAAATCTGTTTATCTGAAATAGGCAGGCATGGAAACAAGACTAGCCCAAAAAGGAGGGGAAAGCGAGCAATAAGTAACAAGCTAGAAGTACCCACACACAGACACTGCAAACGCTTAGGATCATCATGAGAGGTTCTGTGGGTTACTGTTTTGTGAGCAATCTGCAGAATCTTTGATCTGCTCATGGAGGAATAGAACTTGTATTCTTGGCTTTCAAGAACATTTAAATAATAGGAAACCTGGTTCCTTGGAAAGCCACAGAACCCCTGCCTTCTCCTGCTTCTTCAATTTCCCCCTCCTTACACTGGTTAATTCACATCAACACTCAAACACATCTTAGTATCTCCCACATCACACAAAACAAAAACGTTCCCTTGGTCTCACATTTCCCTCCAGACAATGCCTGTCTCTGCTTTCCTTCCCAGAAAATGTTATTGAAATATATGTCTGTTATTAACATGACCTCTTTGCCTGATTCTCAGCCCACCTTACTCCATTTGGGCTTCTGTCCCCAGCAATCTCCTGAAGCTGCTATGTCAAGGGTACCAGCAGCCATTGTGAAAACAATGGTCAATTCTCAGTCTTCATCTTCTGTGCAGCAGGAACATTTGATACAGCTCACCCTGCCTCCTTGTTGAAACACTTATTTCCCTTGGTTTCCATGACAACACACTTGCCAGATTTCCCTCCTGCTATTTCTCCACAACTGCTATTTCTCACTCTCTTCCTGAGCTCCTGGTGCTGGGAAAGCCTTAGGGGCAGCCCTCAGCCATCTTCTCTCTCTAGATGATCTCATCCAGTCCAGGTTTATATAAACCCCAGTTGAAATCTCTAGCCTGGGCCTCTCTCCCTTGACTTCCAGATCTCCAGCATCTCCCCATGCGTGGCCACTGTGTGTGTGACTTCAGCTTACCCATGACCAAGACAAAATGCCTTCCTCCATCAGCGGGCTTCCTGGGCTTCCCACTTTTACGTTCCCCATCTCAGTAAACATCGCCGCTATTCACCCACACATCCAGGACAAAACTCAGGATGGTCTTTGCTTCATTCACCTCTTGCTCTCAAACTCAGTCACATCTCTGTGGGCTCTGTGCCTAGAATACATCCTCTCTTCCGTCGCTTCTCCCATCTTCCCATTTTCCCTGGTACCATCCTGTCCTGCTGCCGTTTTCTCTCACTGTGCTATTCTTACAGTCTTCTACTCACTCTTCCACCTGCTTTCAACATTGCCCCTTGTCTTTTCTCCACCAGCAGCTGGTGGGGTCGTTTTAAGGTACAAATTAGATCCTCTTTCTCCCCTACTTAAAATCCTCCAGTGGCTTCCTGATACACTGACGAAAACACCCACATTTCTGGCCCCTCTTCTCCAACATCACCACACACCGCTGCCTCACTCACTGGACTCTATCAACCTTCTAGCAGCGTCTCAGACACCATCCTGCTTCCCTGTCACACACTTTATAATCAGAATTGCCCTTGTCTGGGATATGCACTTTGCAGGTGTTCTCAAGGGTGCAGTCTCCTCCTCACTCCGGTGTCTGGTCCCATATTGCCTCCTAAAGGAAGACTCTGCTGACTCCCTCCCATCCCTTCTTCTGTTGCTATTTTCTTCGCTGCATTTGCCACCATTTGAAAAGAAACACTCATTTATTTGCTTAAGTGTGTCTCCTCCACCCATTCCATTAGCATGCAAGACCCTAGAGAGCAGGACTTTGTGTCGCTTATGGCTGTGTCCCCAGTCCCTAGTGCACCACATGCACATAGTAGGGACTCAATATTTACTTACTGAATGAACAAGGATCATAACGCTTTCTTTTAAAAGGATTGAAAGAGGCACTGGATCACGTCTCACTAATAAAAGAAAAAGGTACCAGAAAGAAAACAGCTCTTTGAAGTTGAGCTCACGACTTACCAAGGTGAGAATCCTCAAGGTGGCGGCGCTGAATATGACTTTGTAGAAAAGCTTGGTTCATAAAGGCCTTGTCACAAAAATGGCACTGAAAAGGAGGGAGCCACAAATCCACGAGTTTATAACGAACATCCTCCCACCCAATTCCAATGAAAATTCGACTACCTGAAACACGACCTCTTGGGGGCTTTTCCCCTAAAAGACATCATTGGGACAAGGGTGCTGAAAGCATGACTAAAAAGACACATGTAAAACCAGGGAATCCTTCCCGAACTGAGCCCATGGCAATGAAAACTCTCTCGCAGCAGGTAAAGGAGGCCCTCACGGTGCTTTCTGGAACCCCTGATGATGATCCCCTTAGACTGGTGGCTCCCAGCCTGTCACAACCTTGTCTGGGGGACTGCAGCCAGGCCAGTCTTGCTTCTGTCCCTCCAGCAGGCCACGTTCACAGCCTCTGCTGTAGCTGCTCCCTGCCTCCATCCTCCCAGACCTTCCCGTGGCTGGCTCCTGGACCTTCAGGGCGTGGTTTGCGGAGCCTCTTCCACCCTGGGGACGAACGCACGCCCTCAACAAGGTCTCTGCGGATGATCCTGCTGCTAAGTCACCGTCCATCCCAGTGTCTTATTTTGTACATCTCAACAGTTAATATTTTCAGGTTGATTTCACTTGTTTATTAACCCCCTCTAGGTTCTAGAGTGTCAGCTTCCTGAGAACATGGGCTCTTGGCTTATCTTATGCACAGCTTTATCTCTAGAGCCGAGCATTAAAAGACCATTGAATACACCCTTAAAAATATTTGGCCTCCTAAAATGAATTTACTGAAAAAAAGATCAACTCCATCAATATCTCTATTTTCTATTTTAACATTGATTCACATTTTAAACAATTCAGTTTGTTTCATTTATATCCTTGCCCCTGGATTACTCTGAAGTAAATCCTGGATACTGTGTATTTCATTCGTACTTCAGAATCTATGTCTAAAAGGACTTTCTTTTAACACAATCATATCATTATACCACTTTTTTAAAATGTGAAAATTAATTCCTTGTTATCAACAAATACCCAAACATTTGTTGTTGTTTTTCCCCCAATATTTCACACATTGTCTTAGGAAATATTTTTACTATCTGTTTTAAATCAGAACCCCAATGCGGCTACATCCTGCACCTGGTTGTTACATCTATTGGCTCTCCTTTGATCTATAATGTGACCTTCCATCTCTTTTTCCTTGCAGGTCTTTTGCTGAAGAAACATTTGATGAACAGTGTTTCTCTCAGTTTGGATTTTACGTTCCTTTCCATTGTGCTATTTACATGTTCTTCTATTTAGGTATTGCCTTACTCTTAATCAGTACAACGGCATCAGAATTTCAGGTTCTAGTGACCCAGAAAACTAACATTATGGCATATTCCTGGGCATTGCACTTCAAAGCATCTTTCCAGCCTTCATTGCTCGTGACGACTCCAGACACAGGACTTCCCACACTGACTCAGAGGGAGGTGCAGGCTCTCAGGTGAGCCTAGCCAAAGGAAATGGAGGAAACCTGGAAAGCATAACTTTTAACTTCTAAAAATGGAAAATACACATTTTAACTATTTGAATAAAAGAAAAGAGTCAAAAGCTCAGAGTAAGAAGGGCTGCTACTCCAAAAAGAACAGGCTGACATTTTTACCTCACCCAAGTGAAAAACTTTTGTATGATAAAAAAAAACACCAAAACAATGTTAAGGAACTTCTGTTTTCTAGAACTGCATGAAGGAGCTTGAAAATCACCACTCCATCCTAACAATAAAAAGCTAACAGACTGAAAAATCAGCAACTCTTCTTGAATCTCTAAGACAGGGAGGACACATGGCACGCGACTACCCCAAGCTTGGAGAGACACACAGGTGGCTACAGGGAGTTGCTGCTTCCCAGAGCAGAGACTCGCCAGCAAGAGCCCCTGAAGGAACCGGAGCCAGGGTAGGAAAACCTGAACTGTGACTGACAGATTGCTGGAGGTCTTAGAGTGGATGAGTCTGAGAGTTAAAACCTCCTGCAGGGGAGAGTGGAACTTTCTCAATTTGATTAAAACCTACAGCTAAAATCAGACTGAAATAAAGCAGGAAAAGGAAAAGAAAGACATAGTCACTGGGAAGCAAGGCGGAACTGCTTTTGTTTGCAGATGACATTACCATCTATGTGGAAAATCCAAAAGAATTGAGGAAAAAAAAAACCTTAAACTACCAACCAGGAAAGCTGTAGCAAAGTTATAGGATACAAGGTTAATATACATTCTTACACTTAATATAACTATAGTTTAATATATGTAGGATAACAAGGTTGAATATAAAGTTAACTGCTTTCATATGTTTCAGCAATGAACAAGTGGAATCTGAAATTACAACACACCACCATTTACATTTGCACCCCCCAAAATGAATACCTAGGTGTAAATCTAATAAAACATATACAAGATCAATATGAGGAAAACTACAAGATTCTGGTGAACAAAATCAAAGAACTAAATAAATGGATATTCATGTTAATGGATTCAAGAAGATTCAATATTGTCAAGACATCAGTTCTTCCCAATTTGATCTATAGACTCAGTGCAACCCCAATCAAAATCCCAGCAAGTTCTTTTGTGGGTATCAACAAAGTTTGTACGAAGAAGCAAAACCCAGAATAGTCAGCACAATATTGAGCTGGCGAACTGACACTACTTGGCTTTAAGGCTTCATACATGAAAGCTACAGTCATTAGAACAGTGTGATACTGACTAAAGAAGACAAACAGATCCATTTGTCAGAATGGGACAGAATAGACAGCCCAGAAATTACATATTTAATTACATATATACCATGTGTGTGTGTGTATACATATATATATGTGTGTGTATATATATATATACATATATATATGTGTGTATATATATATATATAATACTGTCGCCTGATCTTTGACAAAGGAGCTAAAGCAATACAATGGAACAAAGGTGGTCTCTTCAACAATGGTGCTGGAATAAGTGAAAAACTTTTCCACATACAAAAAAATAAATGTAGACACAGACCACACACCCTTCACAAAATCTAACTCAAAATGGATCACAGAACTAAATGAAAGTTGCAAAACAATAAAACTCCTAGAAAATAACATAGTTTTCATAAGAAAACCTAAATGACCTTGGATATGACAATGACTTTTTAGATACAACATCAAAGATACGATCAATGAAAGAAATAACTGACAGACAGGACTTGATCAAAATTAAAAACTTGGGCTCTGCAAAAGATAATGTAAGAAAATGTGAAGACAAACCACACTGGGAGAAAAAATCTGCAAAAAATACAACTGACAAAAGATCATTATCCAAATAGAAATAACTCTTAAAACTCAACAAAAATAAAATAACCCTACTAAAAAATGGGCCAAAGACCATAACAGACACCTCACCAAATAAGATATATAGCTGGCAAATAAGCATATAAGAAGATGCTCTACATATGTCATCAAGAAAATGCAAATTTAAATGAAATACCACAACACACCTACTAGAATGGCCAAAATGCGGAGCACAGACAACACCAAGTGCCAACGAGGATGTACAGCAAAAGAACCTTTCATTGCCGGTGGGAATGTGAAGGGGTACAGCCACTTTGGTGGTTTCTCACAAAACTAAACTTACTCTTAACATATGATCCAACAATTTTACATTCCTTGGCACTTCCCCAAAGGAGCTGAAAATTTAGGGTCCACACAAAAACCTGTAGATAGATGTTTACAGCAGCCTTATTCGTAAATGCCAAAGCTTGGACTCAACTAAGTTGTTCTTCAGTATATGAATGGGTAAATAAACTGTGGTCCATCCAGACAATAGGAGATTATTCAACACTAAAAAGAAATGAGCTATCAAACCATGAAAAGACATCCAAGAACCTTAAATGCATATTCCTAAATAAAAGGACCAATAGGAAAGGGCTATATCCTATATGATTCCAACTATACGACATTCTGGAAAAGGGCAAAACTACAAAGAGAGTAAAAAGATCAGTGATTGCCAGGGGTTGGGGATTGGATGAACAGATGGAGCACAGACAAATCTTAGGTGAAATACTCTGTAAAACTACTCTGTATGATACTATAACGATGTATACATGTCATTAAACATTTGTCCGAACCTACAGAATACACAACATCAAAAGTGAACCATAATGTAAACAATGGACTTTGGGTGATTATGATATGTCAGTATAGGTTCCATTAATTGTAATAAATGTACCTACCACTCTGTGAGTAGGTAGAAGGGGGACTGAGAATGAGGGAGGCTATGAATGTGTAGGGGCATGGTGGTATATGGGAACTTTACCTTCCCCTCAATGTTGAGGTGGACATAAATCTGCACTTAAAAAAAAAAACCCCAAAAAACTCAAGTTCACACAAAAACCTGCACATTGAATGATCACATCAGCACTATTCATAATAGCCAAATCCTGGAATGAGGCAAGATACTCTTCAAGGGTGAAAAGTTAAACTCTTATATATTCACACTATGGAATACTAGTTAGTTAAAAAAAGAAAATGGATTATTGATACATGCAACAACTTGGTCTGTCAGCCTCAAAGCCAGTGCTCTCTGCCATCACTGGTAGAAGTCAGATCATTCTTATAACAAGTAGCACGAGGTTCAGAAATCCTGGTTATTGCACAACAACTCTACCTAAGAAATAATGAGGTTTCCTTTCAGGATAAGAAGGCAGGAAGGAATTCTAAATAAACTGGAGTCAAATTTCTCCATTAAAAAGTATGCTTTTTAGAAATGCTCTAAAATTTTTATCCTCTAAAACCTTTTGCATTTTCTTAGAAAGATGATTTTATATACATGATAAATATGGGTGTGCATTATGAATTTAATATACTGATGAATAACAGAAACTTCTATTTCAAAGGAATACTTTTTATAGCATTTTACAAAAGAAAAACAAAATGAATTAAGAAAAGTTAGGTACTATTAACTATTCATAGAAAGGAATCTAATGCTCTTTCTGTGACAACCCCCAGGTCAGAACATGTGAAATTATTTTCAGTACACTTGGTTAAAAATGTATGCTACCTAAGTCCAACAGAGGCCTTTAAAACCATATTTAGCCAAAATGACTAGAATATAAGGGTATGAAATCAATCTTGTGAGTCTGTTGCTTATTTATCTTTATCGAACATTGTTTATAACTCTTGTGCTTCCTCCACCTAATCAATAAAAAAAATATGGTGAAGTGGTGAAAGGGATTTAGAGATAGACTTCCAGTTATAAATAAGTCATAGCAATGAAGAGTATAACAGGGAATATAGCCAATAGTACTGTAATAACTCTGTATGGTGACAGATGGTAATTAATTGTGGTAGCATTTTGTAATGTATATAAATGTCAAATCACTATGTTTTACACCTGAAACTAACACATAACACACACACACACACACACATTTCTGTTATACTAAAAATTGAAATATTTACCTTGGGTTCATTGTCTAACCTGTTATAGTTGGAGGTTAAGATAAGAAAACCATTTAAAAAATTTTAAATACTGTTACATTAGTGAGTGTCCTTGCTCTTAGGAAAGTTATACATTGAAATATTTAGAAGTCTGAAACTCATTGTCAAATGGTTCAACAGTATGAATATAGAGACAGAAAATAAGTCAAATGCATCAAATGTTAATAATCCAGGAATCTGAGGGAAGGGTATAAGAAAGTTCTTTGCACTATTCTTAAAACTCTTCTGTAAGTTTAAAAATATTTTGAAATAAAAACTCCCACAAATGTAATCATTCCAGAATTGAGGGCCGATCTCCACAGCAGTCTGTACTTGCTTTCTCTTTCATAACATCAGTTAGGAGGTGGAAACTACTTAAACAGCCAGCATTTAGATGACTTCAATAAAGCACTGCAGTTACCTGTTTAATTTTTAAACCTGTGGTAGTCCACATAAGGTAATGAACCATGTCATCTGGTGGTTAAAATTACTGTTTTGGTTAAATATGCTGTTTCTTCTGAATTACAGTACAAATCTTAGGAGGGGGGAAAAAAAGCAAGCAAGCAGTGACATAGGAAAGGACTCTCAATATTCCAATCAGTGCGAATTGAGAACTTTACTGAATTATGAATCGAAATCCCTAGGCAGTTCCCCACCTGGTAGTAGCTGGCTTTGGCCTCGATCATCAGCTGCTGCTGGGTCGAGATCATCTTTTTCCTGCGTTTACACTCTTCTTTGAGTAACTTGATCTCCCCGGCCTGCTTGGCGAGGAGCTTCTGGCTCTGCTCGCCGTCGGCCTGGCTGAGACGCAGCCGCTCCTCCAGGTGGTGCAGCTGCGAGGTGAGGAACTCCTGCGAGTGCATCAGGTACTCAATGGTGAGCTGCGCCAGGCGGATGAGCTTCAGCAGCACCGGGTCCACCCCCGACTGGCAGTGCTGGCACTTCTCGTCCTCCAGCTTGCAGAAGGTGATGTTCATGATGTTCTCCTGAAGCGTGAGCACGTCCACGGCCCCCGCCACCTTGTCCACGTCGATGGCTCTCAGCCGCGGCCAGTCCACCCTCTCCAGCCGCGGCCGAAACTGGAAGAAGGGCAGGGAGCCCGGCGCCGCGCTGTGGGAGGCACGGGCCATAGTTGCCGCGCCCGCCGCGGCGGCTGCGAGGCCTTCGGGACTCTCGAGGCCGCTGGCCAGCGGGTAGTAGACGTGCTGCTTAAAAGGCTACAGGAAGGAGACAGTGCGGAGGTGATGCGAGAGCCGGGAGTCCCGCGAAGTCCGGCCTCCCGCAGCCCGGGCGCGCCAAGCGGGCATCCCCGCCTTTCTGCCTCTTACCATGCTTGCAAGTAAGCCGCCGCCTCTGCGGACATCGGAGGAAACCGCTCAGTCTACCGGGCCCGGGCCGCCGCCGCCGCCCAACCCCCCAGGAGCGGGAGGTAGCCGGATCCCAGCGGCGGCTGCTTTAAGTCTCGGCGTCCAGGCCTTTGTTGCTATGGCAGCGCCCCGGCCGGACCTGGAGCAAAGGGCGCGCTGTCCCCGCGCAGTCAGCGAGCGCCCAAGGCCCTGCGGGACCAGAGGAGACCTCGTGGGTGAGCCCGGGCAGACACCCCCGTCCCGTCCCCCCGGAAAGCGCACCTTCTGAGTGCCAGCCAGCTCCCCGGGGCACTACCCTTTGTGCTGCACACTCCAGGCCCGAAGGCGTGGGGAGCCACGCCCAAGGAAGCTGCCAACTTGCAGTCCTAGCTCCGCCTTAGGTTTTGAAATTTGTAAATACCTTCTCATCCTCATCTTTTACGCATAACGTAGAAACGTTAAGCAACAAAACTGTAAAAATAAATGGGATGGAGGGGTCTGGCTGCAAAAGGGCAGGATGATACTTTTGGGATGTAACAGAAATGTTCTGTATTTTGATTGTGCTGTTGGATAACCTGGATATACACATGTCAAAATTCACTGAATTGTACACTCTAAGTTAAGGGTGCATTTTCTATATTACGCCTCAATAAAGTTGTTTTAAAATCTAAATTTGATGGCAAGATAAAATCTGGATGAGTTTCTTATCCAAGATACTTTTTTAAATGGAGTCTTTTTTCATCTATAGACTGGCCACCTAAATATTAAACTGATAGAAGTGCAAACCAAAAAACTTCCCCGAATATGTTCATACTTCATTTGTCCTTCCAAAAAAATACATTTTCCGAATATGAAGACAAAAACAATTCTATGGAGAGGAATTTTAACCATCAGCTTTACCATCAGGTTTTACAGAGCTCTGGTTATTTACCTTACAAGCTTGTGAGGCGGCTGCGTTCTATTTTCTGGAGAAGCTAAAGTATTTCTAGCAGCAACTTGTAGACCTCGGGCCTCTCATTCTCGGCATCTTCTGGAGGCCGCCTGTGGCTACCACATAGACCAAATTGTTGAGGAAAAGCCAGACACTCCCCAATCCACCGGGGAGTCCCTGCTTGGACCAACCATCAGGAAATTTTTTTTCTTTCCTAACAGCCAGAGACATGAACAGAAGAAAGGAAAATACAAGTCAGAGTAACGGGAAGCAAAGTTGTATCAAGTATTTTAGCATTGCGTAAACTAGAAAAAAAACCCCATATGAACAACAAACAAGAAATACAGCATACACTTAACATGACTTCGTATAAACCATACGTCCAAATCACTTTACATAATGGGCCTTTGGGAAAAAAAGAACTATTAAAGATTTACAGCACCCGGCATAAAAGTCTCAAAGACCTAGGTTTAAGGTTTGATTCTCCCAATTTTTCTTGCTGCATGACCTAAAACAAGTTATGTCAGTCCCAGGCCTGCTTCCCTATCTGTTTTTTAAAAGGCGTCAGGATACTGACCTGGCAGGTCTATGGACCGTGGGCTCCATCCACTGGGCTGCAGGATCGGCGGGAACAAGGGCCGTGGTTTGTCTTGCTCACCGTTGTCCCCAGCACCTAGCACAGGACAGGCAGAGAGAGGCATTAAGAATTTGCAGCCCGTACACGTGGATAATGATCAAATGAATTAAGCTTTTAATTAAGTAAAAGCTCGCAGCCCGCATCTCTCCTATTTTCAGTGCCTCTGGCCTGTTCGGGGGATTCCCCCGTGCTCTGAGCCCTTGAAGGTGAACATGGGGGATAGTCCGCGCGTCCCCACTGCAGGCCGGAGAGGAGGCGCGCGCGACCCGATGCGCCCATCCCGGATGGCCGCCAACACAGGGACCCCTAGCGCCGCGCAGTTCACCATCCTCGCCCCTTGGATGATTCTCCGTCGCCAAGATGGCCGGAACAGGAAAAAAGGGGTCACGCTTTCCCGTTCCCTCCGCCCCACACCCCAGAGATGGGCCGCCAGCGCCGCACGGCACCTCCCTCCGCGGGCGCACTGCAAGGGCCGGTCCGCGGAACCCACAAAAACAAAGGCCGGGGTACGCCGGCTCCAGCGCGGCCTCGGCGCCTCCCCGTAGAAGACAAAACGGGAGTGGAGGCTGCGGCAGCCAGGCCAGCGGGATCTGCAGCGCCTCGGCTCGCAGCCGCCGAAGAGGGAGGCGGCCCCGGCCTCGCGGGCACGGACATGCCCCGTCGGCCGCAGGCTCCCAAGGGCGCCCGGCGCATCGCGGGCCTCAGCTCACCCCAGCTGTCCGCTCCTGGGCCAGCGCCTGGCGCTGCAGGCGAACTGGGGATCCAAACCCCAGAGGCGTGGCTGGCGCAGCGGAGGCGGTGGAGCAGCCGAGGGGGAAGCAGCGGGTTGCCTCCTTCTTCCAGGGCGCGGGATGAAGCCTGCCTGCTTTGGGCAAGTTGTGGCAAGGAGGGCTGCCAGATGCCGCTCCCGGCCCTCCCAGACTGCCGGCCACCGGCGCCTCGGGATCCCCCACCCCCCTCCCGCCCCCGCCCCCGCCCCTCCGCGATCTCCCCGCGGCCTCTCCTCAGCGCGTCCCAGCCTTTCTGGCAGTTGGGCGGGACCACGCGCGTCTAGACCGCAGAGCTAAAATGCGCTCCGCCAATCCTGCTGTAGGCGCGGACACGTGGTGCCAAGGCGCGATCTGTTGCTGGCTCGGGGGGGATGCTCGCCCAGGAAGGCTTTTCAGAGAAACCAGATTCACGCCCACCCTGCGGCTGGCCTGAACCTTAGCTAGCTAATTTGCTAAAGTGGCTTTTATGTAAATTTGCTGCCGAGAAGAGATGCGTTTTAATCGAAGTTGTGTGCAGGTCCAAGGGACCTTGAAGAGAATATCTAACGCAGCCCTGCGTCTGAATGACGTGGGATTAGGGACGTTGCACCCCACCACGCAAGGATTTAAACGCAAGTAGCTTTCCTGTTCCCTTTAGATTATACCCACGTTAGGGCTAACGGAATGGATCTCTGTTGGTAGAACGTTTGGAGGTGGGTGTAGTAGGGATGTCGGAGTCAAAAGTAGCGTGGCTATTTTTTTAGCCTCAAAGTGGAACACTTGTTCTGACAATGGGGCAAAATTCAGTATTTTTAAGTAGTGAGTAATCCAGAAAATATGCATATGCCATTTTAACAACCCTGAGGTTGACCCAGATTGAGAAATTTGAGTACATCTTTTGCAAAATTTTAGTGTCTGCTAAAATTTATGTGGTTCTTCAAAAAAAGTAACCACATAAATTTTGCTGAAGGACATGTCACTGTGAAATGTGTTTCCCTGTGCTTCTCCTAGACTGAATCAATTTTGTGCCTTACTTTATTTAGCACAAGGCTTCAAAAATAGTAATAGATCAGTAGTATTTATTTTGAATACCTTGCTGTGGTTTTTACTTGAAATCATATGACCTAGGACAGCTTTGGTGGGATTTTTAAATGTCTAATTTTTAAATTCCTGGATTTGAAAGAGAATCCAAGATCCAAATAGAGTCCTCTAAAGTAGATTGGGTAAAGATTTCTGTGTAGAAGTTTCAGGTAGTATGAGGTAGAAATTCCTTTGCTTTGCAAAATCTGTTATGTAGACTTTTGCAGGTGTGTGTGTGTGTGTGTGTGTGTGTGTATGCACATGCACGTGCATGTGTGTGTAGGATGCTTGCTTAATTAACATTTGATGATAAACCATTTCAAATACATCAAATGTATTCCCTATTCCCCACTGTCATTATATAACCCAACATATACAGAGTTGGGAGAAATAAGATGTACCGGTTGACACTGGCATGGCATAGCGGCAATCATACATTCTTGAACCTTTCAAACCTCTTATACCAATTATCACAGCTGAGAACGGAGTAGCAGTGATAAATAATTACAAATTTTAAAAATTATTTAGGGGTCTGTCTCCCCCAGCAGACTATGAGAACCTTAAATGTTCTAGCATATAGAGCACATAGCAAGTGTTCAAATAAATATTTGTTTCTTGAAGACAGAAATGATCTTAAAAAAGGGAAATAAAATTTTGGTGAATATTGATATTTTGTATAGTAAGCAAATAAAAATGTAGCTGAATTTATTTCAATTTTTATTTCTGCTTCTTTTGTTTGAAAATAGCAAAGGTGAGAAAAAAAATTACAGTTGCCCCTTGAACAATGTGGATTTGAACTGCACAGGTTCATTTATATGCAGACTTTTAAAAATAAATATATTGGAAAATTTTGTGGAGATTTGCAACAGTTTTTTTAACAGTGATTAAATATACTTTTATTTAGTTTGTTGAGTGAGAGGGTCTTTAAAATATTATTGCTAAAGTAGGTATCAAGCAAACAGAAAGGTGCTTTAGAAGTCCAGTTACCTTAGTTTATTTAAACTAAGAGAAAAAGGTCATAGTGTTTTCATGCAGTACGTACTTGGTTCTTTAAATAGCAATTCTGACAAATAACCGAAAGAATTAAGGAATGCTGCACTTGTGGAGCCATACAAAACACCAACATTTTGGGTTGCACATAATTTAAAGAATTGTCTCAAACGTTTTTTGAAATACTTTGGTAGCCAACTCATAGAAGCATGCTTAGATGGGCATAGGAATGCAGTTTTAAAAAGAAAGAAAAAAATCACACAATTTCTTCAAAATCACTGAGCAAGAAAAGCAACACTAAACTTCCATACTGATTTTACACAACTTCTGTACGTACCTTGACTTAAATCCAAGGGCAAAATGTAAGACTCTCTTCCTCTGTATTTTGTAAACAACTGCATGGTAAACTTACATGACTATTCCCTCTTGATTTTACCTGGGAGTGGCCTTTTAACTTTATTATTTAAACGAGGGCAGGTTTGGCACTTCTGTACTGATGTCACTAATGTTAATATTTCTTGGGGTCTCAAAAGATTCATATTCTTCACAGCTGATAACAGCACGGGCTGGAGTTCCTAACTAAGCCAGCCTCAGATTTTTCCAGTTTATTTTGTGCATCAATTTGTGTTTCAATCTCATTTATGTTGGCCTCCAATACAATTTCCCCATCGCCATTTCTGCAAGAATATTAAGAACCTTGTCTACATGGAAAATTAAATCAGTTTGCAGACATTCTCAAAACACTTGTCTAATGTTTTCACAAACACTCAAATTAGATCTAAAATGCCAAGTTCACTTTCTGAAGAATCCAAACAGAAGACAAAATATAATGTTGTGTAATGTTTAGGTATCAGTTTGCTATCAGATGCTCCAATTATGAATCCTCCTTCTGGGAAATTACATTTTCATCTTTCTTGGGTACCAAGTGGAAGATCTCCCTGATGTTATGGTGTTCTGTATCCTCACTGTAGGGGTGGTAGAACTTGAAAGCCATGGCTTCCCATGGTTGTTGAAGATGAGGATTGCCTTGATCATGGCTCAGCCACTGACCGGGAAGCTGCTGGGGGCCAGGGTGGGGACGCTGTGCCAGCCTTACCTGGGAATCTCACCTCCCATCCTTGCACACCCGCCCCTTCTCACAAGCACCAGGATTTGTAACAATTTGAAAAAACACTTTCTTTTCTCTGGCTTACTTTGTAAGAATACAACATATAATACCTGTAACATACAAAATACTTGTTAATCGACTGTTCAAATTGTCAGTAAGGCTTCCAGTCAACAGTAGCCTATTAGTAAAGTTTTGGGGGAATCAAAAGTCTTATGTGGATTTTTGGCTGTACAAGGGGGATAGCCTTCACAGTTACTGAAGGGTCAACTGTACATTGAGGCACACAGTTTGCACATTATGTGTACATATCTCTAAACATTATATTATTTGCTTTTGAAAAGCTGAGTAGCAAACACAAGCTGTGATGATGAGTCAAGTGAGTATCTGGATCCATACCAACTTTATACACAGGCAGGAGGGTTTTTTCCCCAGCCTGGCCCTTGTCTTAGAAAATTCCAAAGGATTAATGGATCAGTTCCTCCCATAGCCTGTGCTCGCCCATTCTAGACCATGTTCCAGCACACAGAAGCCCAGCCCAGAATTTCCTGCACAAACAGTGCATGCCAACTTCCAGAGCATGGGCTGCTTCCCCAAGTCTAACTTTTTGAAAGTGGACTGTGCCACATATGGTTAGGCACATGGGGTGGTTCTGGGCACCAGTACTATTAATTAGAAATATTAAATAGTGAAGACATATATGGCTTGGAGGATATACACTATGTACATAAGGCCTCTCACTGGCCAAGATGGTGCCAGGTGAGAAGAGAAGAGTTGCTGCCTGAATGCTTAGCTGAAAGTCCAAGAATTCTAAATTCAAACCTGGCTTTGCAGCCTCACCTTCCTTTGACTAACTTAAAATGTGCTGCTGCTGACAGGTAGTTGTAAATGCATATAGTAAACTCTAGGGCAATCATCTAAAAAATTAAAAGTTTTTTTAAACTTCATTTTTAATAAGTTTAAAATTTTAAATTAATTTTCAATAAAAAATTAAGGAAAGAATATGCTAAGAGAGGAGTAAGTGGAATGATACGATATAAAATGCAGAGAAGGCAGAAAAGGGGGAAGAAAAGAAACAAAGAACAAGTGTAATGAATAAAAAGCAATAGCATCTTCATGTAATTGTAGATTAATGATAACAAAATAAAATAAAGAAAAGAAAAAAAAAACAATAGCAAATGTGGAAGATACAAACCCAAATATGTCAACAATCATTTTAAATGTGAATTGTCTAGAAAAACTGATTAAAAGATGGAGATTGTTAGAGTGGATTAAAAAACACATGTACACAAGACCCAACAATATGTTATTTATAAGAAATTTTAAATATAAGGACTTAGATAGGTTAAAAGTAAAGGGATGGAAAAAGATATACCATGCTAAAACTAATCAAAAGAAATCTGGAGCAACTATGTTAGTTTCAGACAAAGACCTCAGAACAAGGAAAATGATTATGGATTAAGAGGGGTACTGCATACTGATGAAGGGTTCAAGGTTGCAAGAAGACATAACAAACCTTAACGCGCACGTACATAAGAACAGTGTCAAAATACATGAGGCAAAAACAGATAAAACTGTAAGGAGAAATAGACAAATCCACTGTTAGAGTTGAAGACTTAAAATCCCTCTTTTAACAATTGATATATCAGGAAGGACACAGTTGACCCAAATAGCACTATCATTCAACCAGATCTAACTGGCTTTTGTAGACCACTCCGTCAACAGGAGGATATACATTCTTCTAAAATTTGCATGGAACATTCAGGAAGCTAGATCGCATTCTGGGCCATCAAACACACCTTAACATAGGTAAAAGAATAGAAATCCTACAAAATATATTCTCAGACCACAGAATTAAACTAGAAATCAATAGCAGAAAGACTGCTGGAGAAATTCCAAAGTATTTGGAAACTAAACAACACACTGATATATAATATATGGGTGAACGAAGAAATCTCAAGAGTAATTTTTAAATATTTGCAACTACATAAAAACACAACCTACCAAAATGTGTGGGATACAGTGAAA